CCTTTTTAAAAAAACCCCCACGGGCCGGGGGGGGTTGGGGGGCAACGTAAAAAAAAGGAAAAAAGTGGTTTTTCGTTAAAAAAAAAGGAAGCCATTTTTTCCCAAGGGGGGGTCCTGGGGGGCCGAGTGGGGCCCCCATGGGCCCAAAGTGGGGGGCCCAAAAACCCCCAAAAAACACCCCCCCAAGAAATTCGTGGCACGGGGGAGGTTAAGGTTTTGCCGGGGGGTTGGGGGCCCAGCGACAGCCCCAAAACATCACTGCTCTAGAGGAGATCTGCATGGAGGAATGGGCCAAAATACCAGCAACAGTGTGTGAAAACCTTGTGAAGACTTACAGAAAACGTTTGACCTGTGTCATTGCCAACAAAGGGTATATAACAAAGTATTGAGAAACTTTTGTTATTGACCAAATACTTATTTTCCACCATAATTTGCAAATAAATTCATTAAAAATCCTACAATGTGATTTTCTGGATTTTTTTCTTCTCATTTTGTCTGTCATAGTTGACGTGTTGACTATGATGAAAATTACAGAGAACTTGCACAATTGGTGGCTGACTAAATACTTTTTCCCCCCACTGTACACTGTTTTCCATTCTCACTCAGAATGTTACTATCAGTCCTAGTGCTCTTGGGTCATAGCGATAGATGTTTCAGTAACATTTAGAATGGAAGGGAGCTCACATAATTTATACAAACTGCCACTTATAAATCATCTATCCTATTTTTTACCCCAGGGCACAGAAAAGACAGATGCAAATGGATGCTGCAAGACCTGTAAGTAACACGTCCAGCCAAAGCATTCCTAATAACCACCTATCTACTGGTTAATAATAGCATGCTATGTCACCTAAACAATAAAATAAGACCAACAGGAAACATTGTGCCTACATGCTGGCCAAAAATGTATATGTTGTCTGTTTCTGCTTAAGCTATGTAATAATGTATCAAACAATAACTCTTGATGCATCTTCCCTGACCAGGCACAGAACGCAGCAATGTCTGTGAGATGAAGTACACCACCACTAGCATCGTCATCAGTGGCTGTGCGACCGCTGAGCCTGTGGAGATCAATTCCTGCTCAGGAAACTGTGGAACCTCTTCCATGTAAGTACTACAGATGCTGAATGCAGCACTAGTCAATGTCATGCAGGCCCCAGTCAGTGATCACTTATTCACCACATATTGTGCCCTTTTTGAACTAGGAGCTTATTTGACTTATTTACTGCTCCTGTGCTCATCTTGTCAAGACAACCCAGGAAATTCAAGCCCTCTTTTCAACTTGTCTTGTGTTTATGTGAATGTGCAGGTACTCAGCAGAGGCCAACACCATGATGCACTACTGCTCCTGCTGCCAAGAGGCGACCACTAGCCAGAAAGAGGTGGAGCTGATCTGCCCTGATGGGTCAAAGGTCAAGCACTCCTACATCCACGTTGAGTCGTGCGGATGTCACGTCACAGACTGTGATGCAGGCACGACCGCCGCCCCTGGGATGACCAGACAGCGCAGGAGAAGGCGCTAAACGTCTAGGGAGACAACATGCACACTGATATCAGAATTATCCTCATGACATCGAATGTTTTAGTCCAACTTTGTTTTCTTGTTAACTTTTATTTAAATCTGTCATGCCAGTGTATTTCTACAATCGGCAGCACTTAATATTATGTTCTTATACCTTCATTGTAGAATTAATGTATTTTCTATGATAAATGTAGTGGAGAATCTCTTTTCTTATTTGTAGTGATTAATAAACAACAGCAACATCATGTGCTTCTGCATGTTCCTTTTGCTTTTTGAGCAATTCTCACATTCCTTCAAGCTATTCACAGTGATCACTATAACAGTAACATTATGCTACTTGGAGGTTTAACTTCCAAAATAATGGAAAGTGTCTTAATATGGTGTTGGGCCACCACGAGCCGCCAGAAGAGCTTGAATGCACCTTGGCATAGATTCTCAAAGTGTCTGAAACTCTACTGGAGGGATGCGACACCATTCTTCCAAGTGAAATTCCATCATTTGGTGTTTTGTTGATGGTGGTGGAAAATGCTGTCTCAGGCGCTGCTCCAGAATCTCCCATAAGTGTTCAATTGGGTTGATATCTGGTGACTGAGACGGACATGGCATATGGTTTACATAATTTTTATGCTCATCAAACCATTCAGGGAACACTTGTGCCATGTGGATGGGGGCATTGTCATCCACTCCCATCAGGATAGAAATGATTCACCATAAATTGAAGGTGATCACTCAGAATGGTTGTGTATTTACTGGTGCTTATCTTACCTTCAGTGGTATTCAAAGTTGGGGTTGCGACGGAACTGCAGTGGGGTCGCCAAAATGTAATACAAATAAAATAAAATAGGGTACAGATTGTTGTATGGGACAATATACAAACGTTTTTGAGAAAGACAATTTGAAAGATACCATTTTGAATACATTTATATATTGGTTTCGTTTATTTTTGATAAGAGATGAAAATGCAATGCATTAAAGGTTATTTGTTGATGTCAAAATCTGGCTGAAACAATTGGGGGTCCCCGCTGAAAAAGTTTGAATACCAGTGCTCTCGGGGTTGAGTGGACCTAAGCCATGGCAGGAAAATGCACCACACACCATAACAGAGCCACCAGAACTCTCATTTACGCAAGAGTTTCTATTATTTTGGCAGTTACCTGTAGCTATCTACCAGTGGCTTTTGAAAATATATTGACGCAACAAAACATGCCAAGCAGTAAGCCACAAGTTAGTAAAGGTATAATAAAATATGTAGCTAGAATAGGGTAGTGACGTTCTTGTGTCATTGACAACATGGTGGGATTTAAAGGGGCAATCTGCAGTTCAGACAAAGCTGAGGGATAGGGCTGGAGAAATGTAACCACTCTCAAATTCATATAGAGCTATAGATGTAAGAACCGACCATCCATGAGATCATAATTATAGTTTAAGGGCCAGATTCAATCCGATCGCGTTTTGTCCACTATATGCATATTTTAAAGGCAATATTCCAGCGATCGCAGAGACCACATTAACGGTAAACACAGCATTTGTCGGCTCAATCGAAAATTACCGCTGTAACACAGATCTTCCACAGTCCGGATTGAATCTAGGCCTTAATCATGTTGAGTCTATACAGTGTTTGTTTACAATTATATTGTTTACAAACAAAGAAGTAAAACACGCTTATATTTTGGGGTCTGATGGGGTACGACAGTTGAACTAAACTCATGAGGTATTTCTAAGTTATAGTAAATAAATAAATAAATAATTTGGTATATATCAATATATCAATTTCAAAGTCTAAAAATGGCACGGCAAACAAACCAGTAGGATGAGATATACACTACAAGACCAACCAAATGTAGACTAAACCTTTATTTCCATAATGTAATAATTCATGAGTAAAGGAAACAAGAGCAAATGTCAAATTGCAAACATAATTTGATGCCAAAAAAGTTTTGTACATTCAAACCAGATAACCCATTAAACTGCTTTAGCACATAGCCTTGCCATTCCATTGCAACAGAATCAGAACAACCTTCCTAACTTCGCTAGAGCGCCTTCGAACATCCTTGTGCACATTGATCTCAAAGGACTGTAAAAGTGAAATAAATGTTATGCTCTCTTTAGCTTAGGAAGGTACATTTACTTATGAACTAACAAATAAGTAGAATGGCTAAACATTGGAAGTGTTAGGAGTTATACAGACGTCTGGCTAAACATGACACAATCATGTTCAAAATATGTCTATGCGAATGGGACAAGTATGGGGGAAAACAGAGAAGAAAACCTAACATATAAAATGAAAGTGCTTGCTATGTCTTGGCAAAAGTGGAAGGTAGACAGGAATTTATTAAATCAAGAGGGGATAGAGCAATCAATCAAACATAAGTGCCCAGAATTGGGATCACTGAAAATCAATGAAGTCTATTAAATTAAAACAATAAGTATTTTACATATGACACTCATGGAGTATGGCCTAAGCATAAATGAAATGAACTAACAATTGTTTTTGTGAATCAAACCACAACAGAGGATCTTTCCTTGGAAAAATATATGCACATCTTTGAAGATTAAGCAAATACAAATATCAAATGAAAACCCCATGTTAAAATTAGACCTTTGGGGGGACGGCAACATTCAATGCCTCATGTCAATGGATCTTTACAAGTCTCCTCTAAATGTGTGTGTGTGTGTGTGTGTGTATATATAAATATATATGGTAGTGGTAGGACATTACATTTTATTTGTATGATAATCATACCAACATTTACACATTTTCTGAATATAATTTGGTCGTGCACACAATTTTGTTTATTAATCCAGCAGGGATTTTCACAGCCTATAACGGTTCGCAATAAAGCCTGTGAATTCAGAATGGGTTAAGGGAAAGGATGATATCAGTCATATGTTTATTTCTTCACTGCTTTCAATAATTCGTTATTAACATGTAATTATTTGATATTGGTTTACCATGATATATTCTTCCACCATAGTTAATAACAGTTACTAAGCCACTGACCAGTGATATTGAAACATTCAGAGAGGCATTTTTGTTTGGAGACGTGCAAAATCACATGGCATTATCCAGAGTAGAGTGGAATGGTGGCAAATGAACCTTAACATTTGAGAGGTTGTTAGGCATTGGCTGTGTGGCTATGAGGGGATTTGCACATCTCCTAAGTAATCGCGGTTTGTTATATTGTGATAAGTCCTCTTTCTGCTCTGAACCACTGCATACCTAAATCTCGTCTTCATAATTTATAATCTTTTGAATATATAGAACTATATTTATACAGATATATATATATATAACACAGATAGGCTCAAGACAGTACTGGTCAATACACATATACAGAGAAGACTTGCTTGGGAGCGCTCAACAATGTCGCACAACAACTGCTTTCACAAAGATCTAAAGCTTCTGCAGGATCAATTCCTTTCATTACCCCCACATAGCACTTTTTATTACCCCCACATAGCACTGCATCAACATCAATTGTACATAACCCATTCTGAGTAAAGTGGAATGTAAAATTGAGAAGCCAACCAGCCATCACAGCACTTATCAGTAGGTAAACCAATTTGTCCCAATCCCAGATGTGGACTGGGAACAAAGCTATACATTGTTTCATAATACAGATGGTAATGTATACAGATGTATAAATGTTTGACACCTCAGATTTGAACATCTGCTTATGGTTGGAAAAAAAACTGCTGGATTTTATTTAGTGTGAGTGACAGTTGAGAGCTCGCAGGCCTGAGTGCATATTTACAAACTGTGCAGGGTGCTGTTGATGTGAATGGGCAATGTTCTGGCCGCCACAGTGGCTCTATGTGTGGCTCCACTGTTACAGCTCTTCTGTCATCTGCAGCAGAGAGTTGATTGCGGCATCCTTGTTACCTTGCTGGGCCTCAATTACAGTGCGGATCACTTCCCTGTCCAGATTGGGGAACATGTCCTGCAGTGCCTTAAGATCCTCCTCGCTACAGGGAGCCTCCTGTGGGGCGACAGTGGGTGCTGCAGGCATACCCATGGGCACCATTCCCTGGTTGTATACAGTGGGCACTCCTGAGAAGAGCAAACCAGAGAGAAATGGGTAAGCAACAATCTATTAAATGTATCATTTAAACAGGTCAACAGTTCTTAAGGGCAACACACACACTAATAAACATCAGCCGTGCGCAGTAAGTAGATCACCTGCTGGGTGCTGATGAGCAGTGGCAATTCAACATGTAGAATAGTCGGGAAAATGAACAGAAAATGACAATGTTACTGTGGTCAGTCAGAGGCGTGGTCTGTTTCGTCCTTTAGTTTAATTTACATAAGACACGCTATGCCCACTTCCATTTGTCTCTACCAATTTGGCTTGGAAAGTAGACAAGCAATCTAAATAGAATCGGGCCTTAGATGGCTGCAGTGTCTCTGTCCAAGATTGCTAACTGTTGAAGACTGACTTGAGCCCGTTTTAATCTGTTTATAATTGTATAATTAGCCTAGCAGTAGTAATTATTATATTATTGGTTAGATGGAAAGATCTATGTGCATTGTATTTGGGCAGAAGGAAAGGGGGCCTGTCTCTGAGGGCAAAAATGACTCCATAAGGGTGGAATAGGGCTGATAGAGTTAGAGCTGATAGATCATAATTACTGTTCTATAACACTGTCTTATATCTTTACTGTTTTAGATCTATACTTATATACTCTGAATATGAATATACCGTTTTTATATATCCTTAGAGATTGAAATTAGTGTTAAATTTAGGCTCTTTGTGTATGAGAAGTGTAATTATCTAGTGGATTGCAGTAGCCTGTAGAAATGTGTACCCTCCATAACTCAAGGGCTGACTGATAAGAAGACCTGTGAAAGGCACAGAGGAGTGCGAAGGTTCCGGACTCAAGCTGGGACATGATAACACCAACATGAGGAACAGACTCAGTTCCTGCCCAGCAACAGAGACTGATTGTTCATCCTAGACTTAGAAGGGGGGGGCTAGTCATGTTATGACCTGTATGTGTGCTTTTGCAGCTGCAACACCCAGTGTGATGAATTGATCTAGCACAAGTTTTCTTGGAGACCGTCTGGATTATTGTACCAGAAATTAAACCTAACACTATGTCTCAGTGGAGAGTATGGTTCTACTCACCTGCAATGGGTACGTATCCTACCCCCTGCTGATAGACTGTGGGCATGAGGACAACAGGTGGAGACATGTGCATACCTGCTGGCATGTTCTGAAAGCATGAGAGCCATTAGGAAGAGATAAGGGGCAAGTTGTAAGATGACATCAATCAATCACTTTCAAACTGTACTACAATGACAATGTACAATGTGAGCATGTGTGTTTTATGAACTCACAGCGTAAGACATGACCAGGTTGATCATGCCCTCTTTGTCGTCGCCTTGTCTGCCACTGAGGCTGTACCACTCATCAACCACACTGCCCTCTCTCAGGCCTTCCGGGATGGTGACGTGTGTCCATGCAATTCTGTCATCCATCGAGAATGCCCTCTGGAAAAGTGACCAGCACAAACACCTCAAATCAGTAACTTGTCTCTAAAATCATGGATGATCATCAAGAAGAAACACTCAAAGTAGATTGCTATCAATAACTCTAGACAGGCCTAGTTGTCGAGCCAATAACACGTTAGGATCTTCTCCTCACCCACCACCCTCTAATTCCTTCTTCCTCACCTCATCAAAGATCTCCAGGTAGAAGGAGTCTACTCCAGGTGGGACAGTGCACTGGATAACTTTGTTCCATCGTGGATTCTTGGCACCATTATGGGCTGTGGGTGTTTCATAAACAGCATACCCTAGTCGGACCCTGCAGTAAGGGTCCATGCGTGTCATACCATAGTTTTTAGCAAGCTTGGCCTGGAGAGAAGAGGGACATAACAGTGATTCACAGGAAAACATTCCCACTGCATTAATGACCTTGTGTTACACAATAAGTCTTGATACTAGGGAAAGACCAAGCAGATTCACAGTTAAAAACACCCTACCTGCACTACAGTGATGCTAAGCCGTCCTACAGTGCCCAGGGATCCCCCATACTGCAACTGCTGCGCTGCTTGGGCATCCAACTGAACTTGTTGCTGCTGCTGAGTGGGAGTAATACGCAGGAAGTCTTGGGGCAACTCCCCAATGTAAACCTAAAAAGACGAAAGGAGCGGAGGAATTGTGAGAGTGAGGACAGGCAAACTACACTAGAGGAAGAAAAGGGTCACACTATGCAGCGATTTCCCGGACACACCATTGATAGGGTGTTAGGTGATGCGACAAACAATGGACGCTATGCTAGAATTCTACAAAGAACAGGAGTAAACAAATCTATTTTCACTAAATGTCAATAATGTGGTCGTCAAAATACATTAATCATTTGAAAACATTAATGTGGCAGTTGTTACCCATGTCTAAAAATCCCAATACTGTATGTTATGATATTTACGTGATATGAGCCCAAATCTAAAGCAAGTGCCGTGCTAAGAACGTTAAATTCTGTGGGACAGACCTTTTTGTGAAACCCGCGAAATCAGTGTTCATATTTGCTCTTGGCGGAAAGGTATTCCTCAACCTACCAGAGTAAGATCGATGTGACGTTGTATTGCTAAGAAATGTTGGGAAAGTCCTGAGGGTGTTTCATGGGCATCGGACATCCTTGGACTGAAATATAAGGTAAAACGATTTTCTTTCAGCTCTATCATTGAACCATTTCTTCAAAGATACAAAAAAAACATAGCAGGTTACAAAGTAGAGCTTCGTAGCCAGTGTTTCCAACTATTTTTTCAGCGAGACCAACTATTGGCTCCTTGATTTGTCGGCAGATGACGTTTTGCCTTGCGGCACAGCTGCGGTCCCCAACGTAGCATTTGCACCCCCGTCTCCCGGCACACACCCCCTCCCCTTGTGCCTCTGTGTGCACTGTTGCTGTGACTTCTGTTGCACAGACAGCTTCTCCCACTCTTGTTTGCGGCAGAATGTATTGGGAAAAGTCGCTAAATGCTATCAAAACCATAGAAACCCACCGTGACTCCCCAAAAGGCAGCCTGAAAAGTAGCTGAATTTGTCGCTACAATATTTTACCAATAAAACTCACTGGTGGGGTCTGAAAACTTGCTAAATATAGCGACAAAGTCACTAAGTTGGCAACATTGTATTGTAGCTACGATTTGATGTATGGGTTGTCAGGGATTGCTCCAAATTCTTGTTCCGCCACCCCCATTTACATGATGAGTGCTAGGTTGCTAGCTTTGTGGGAGTGCTTGACGGCCATTCGCTGAGGCAACTGGGGTGAGAGGCAGCGCTGTGCAGCATTGACAGTATTATGCCACCAGTGATTTCTGTGATTCATGGTTTTTTCTTTCAAGTAAAAACTACAAGAATTCAGTGGCGACAGGCCTACAATCGATAAAAACATAGCTAAATACCAGTGAATTGAAAATGTGTCCCATCTATCTTTCTGCAGCTGGCTAGCAGGCAGTGCACTCTGTCTCTTCTGAGCCTAGGCTAATTATTTGCTGGAAATAGTGCAGTTTATCCTCCCTTCACCAGAGAAACTCATCAACACCAAAAATAACATTACAATGAAACCCAACTCAGACGTAGGCCTACCTTAGAAGTAAGCTATGTTATTACATTAGTAGCCTACTGTGTGACAGTTCAGACATAGTGAGAAGTGTGTGTCTGTGTTAGGCTATGTGTGATGTAGTGTGTGTGTGTTGGTGGGTGCTGTGTAAGGATTCTGAGAAATGTGTGTCTGTGTTAGGCACTGTGTGTGTGTGGTGCTGGTGGGGGTGCTGTTTGAGTGTGTGTGGGATGTGTGGAGTGTGTATGCAGGTGGCACAGGCACAGGGTTGGGCCTATTATTTGGCACTCCAGGCCTAATCAGTTGGGCTACTCAATACAACATAACTGTGATATATCCCGCCTAACAGTTGCTAATTGGTAAATACTAAATAGTAAGCCTGCTTTTTGTTATTATGTAATTAATCCCAATTATATGTACTCTTAACACCCCTGGTGTGTGTGTGTGTGTACACGCACATGGGCTGCACCTTACTCCTCAGTGTAAACTCCCAGTTCTGCATAAAACATCAATATATATGTTAACAATGTCCACCTTAGTTTAAATGTATAGGTTTAACATGCTGTATTTTGTGTTTATTCCGTACAGACCAATTAGCATATTAAGTATCACATTTTTATAAATCGTACAAAAAGTTATTCTAATTTCATAAATTGTTTAAAATTGTTACAAACTCTGTTTTGCATAAAACATTAAGATTTGTTAATAATATGACCATCCCTACTTTAAATTATTGGGCTTTCATTACTGTAATTGTGTGTTCCATACTGCCTAATTTGCATATTAAGTGCCTAATTTACATAATACAGCATTTTAATTTAATACATTTAATCAAGCAATAAGGCCCGAGGAGGTGTGGTATATGGCCAATATTCCACAGCTAAGGGCTGTTCTTAGCCACGACAACACGGAGTGACTGGATACAGCCCTTAGCCGTGGTATATTGGCCATATACCACAAACCTCAGAGGTGCCTTATTGCTATTATAAACTGGTTACCAACATAATTAGAGCAGGCTGTCAACCAATCAGCATCCAGGGCTCGAACTACCCAGTTAATAATTTTATTTGAATCATCTCTGTGTTCTACATCAACCCTGAAAATGTCATAACAATATGACCACCCTATCTTTAGTTATTGGACAAAACGTGTCAGGTGATTTGGTCCCTTATATTGACTAGGGATTCAGATCCGTCAGCGACATTTTTCGATCACTTGAAAATAAGTCCTATCCTCATGAAATAAAGTGTTCTGTGTTCATGAGAAGTTTCTCTATAACATGGAATGCAAAGTATTATGCCAGAACTAGTTTCATTTAGTCCCCAAAACCCTACTATTGAGAATGCTTTTCAGTCCAGGGTTAAATCAGTCTGGGAAACCGGTCCAACATCATCAGATCTAGTTTGGCCCTGCCTCTCCATCGCTTCCCTATAGAGGTGGTTCAGTAAAATGTTGCTTAATACCTCATGCCTAGGCTTCAGCTCAAATGGCTAACAGACGACACTGGTTTAGCTGTGTCCTGATAAACTCAAGCAAGTTTAAATCTGGGCGAGTAACGTTAGCTAATCCGGCCATACAGACGCTAGCTACAGCCATTTGCCTAAGGCTCCTGTGAATACAGTAGTTAGCTAGATAACTAGCTAGTTGACTTTAGATTTAACCAGTAGCGAGCTAATTTACATAGCTAGTTAGCCTAATGTTAACTCTGCCATTGGTTATTGTTCCTGGCAAGCTCTATCTAAGGAGCGCAAACTAGCTACCGTTTGCTAGATGGCTATATCCAGAGAGACTTGTCAAACTTTAGGCTTCTAAATTAGCTGGCTAACGTAAAAACTACCCACCCAGCAAGCTAGCTTGTTGAAGCTAATGTAGCTAGCTGGAAGTTTGTTAGCTACTGTAGCTAGCTAACATTTGTTAAATCAACAAACATTACGGTGCTGTTTCATTAAAACGTTGCAGCTAGCTAGCTACAGCTAATCTGGCCAATTTTGGTTAATTTGAAAACGAGTGATAATTGAAGCTAATGTTAGCTAAAATGGTGTTGATCCGTGTTCGTTAGCTAGCTACTATAGCTTGTTAGCTAACGTTAGTCGTTATATTTACCTGTCCTCGTTGGGTGCTAATGGTAGTACTCATTCCGTTTTAAAGTGTGTCCGTTTCACAAATAACGAAAGCCTACTGTAACGGTATACAGTTAGAAAATGACTAGCAAAAAAAGTAAACAACTCAAGCTCCCCAGCTATCCAATCGTGTCACGCCAAGAATCCTGTCAGGGCTGGTTTGATGATCAGCTGACTTGACTTCGTTCCGCTTCTGATGGGTGCGTTTCAGGACATCAGTAAGCGTGCAGTCGCAATTTCAGTGTGCTTTGGGCGAGAGAAACATATAGTGCGTCTCAAACGTCCATAATAGTCAATAGCTTCTCTCCTTCATGTTCACAAAAACAGAACAGCCAGAATTTGCTTTAATCTGTCATATATGAGCATAGAGGAAAAACAGCCATTATGTTCATCCTATTAGATTGAAGTGAGTTGTGAGTATAACATATTGTTCACACTGCAGGCCTTAATGCTCAAATCAGTTTCGTTTTTCAAATCCGTTTTGGAATACTGTCCAAACAGCAAGTTACAAGTGACCAAAATCGGATTTCAGACAGCAGTCATTAGTTGACATGGCCAAACTAGTTCTCATAGTAACAAGTGGTGTGCGTGCAGTGCCAGTGGTGTAGCAGTGTAGTAGGCAGATTGGCGGTGGTGCTCTTGCTTCTTCCTATCACTCAGAAGTTATGTAGCAAGCTAATGTGACAACAATGCCTGCCATGTACGTTTCACATTTGCTTTGAATGTTCAAAATCATAGCGTAAGAACACTTTTAAAGCCTCTAAGGATAAGATGATCCAACATTCAAAACAAGCCCTTTTTGGCCACAGCAGTCAACTAGCTAGCTAGCTAGCTAGCTGTTTAGCTTTCTAGCACATTCACTGATTTGTTTGTAAACAATTAACAAGCTAGTTAGCTACTACATGTTCTTGTCAAACTGTCAACAAAGCAGCTAGCAAGCAACAAGACATGCCAAATAACAGTCTAAAAACCACTTGAGGGCAAATAAATAAGATTTTACCATTCAGACACAAGTCACATGGCCAGGAACCAGATTTGTATCTGACAATGTGGTTTGATATATCTGATTCCATGCGTTTTTTGGCTGTTCAGACTCAGTAGCGGTGCAGGGGTAGAATCACTGGGGAAGCCAAGCCAAGAAAAAAAAAGCCATATTACAACCTATGTTTTATGATAATTGCGTTGTTTGATCTATAACCTGTTAGTTCATATGCCTTGCCACCGTGACATACAGTATTTACTATTTGAAAGAGATTTTTGTGAAAAGTAAACATGGATTGGAATGTTTGGGAGTTGCAATTTCTAAGAGACATTATGTTTCTATTTATATATGGTTTCTGGTTCATGTAGTGGTGCATTGTCATGCCAAACTGTTTCTATTATGATTAACTTCTGAATTGTGCTGCTATTGTTAAATGCACAGAGTAAATGTATAGAAGTGTGAAGATCTATTTCTCCACTAAGTTGGTTTCGTTTAGGCCCAATGGTTCTTTGGTGTCATGCATAGATTTTCACGTCATCCTAAACAATGGTTGTAATGTAGACTGTAAGGAACCATTGGGCCTGGACGAGGCTGGCTTGGTGGAGAAATACATTTTGATATTTTTATGCTCTGTGCATTTGGCGATAGCAGTATAGTTTAGAAGTTAATCATAATTGAAACAGTACTCCCGAATCCAGGCTCTGTTGTAGCCGGCCGCGACCGGGAGACCCATGGGGCGGCGCACAATTGGCCCAGCGTCGTCCAGGGTAGGGGAGGGAATGGCCGGCAGGGATGTAGCTCAGTTGGTAGAGCATGGCGTTTGCAACGCCAGGGTTGTGGGTTCGATTCCCACGGGGGGCCAGTATGAAAAAAAAATTAATAATAATGAATGCACTCACTAACTGTAAGTCGCTCTGGATAAGAGCGTCTGCTAAATGACTAAAATGTAAATGTAAATGTAATACAGAGTCCACAAAGCATATTTGATGTAAACAACTGTTACATGACCTACAGCATGGTCAATGATATGAGGTTTTTATAGTGTTATGATGTCATGTCATAGTATCGTGGGGACCATGTTAGATTTAGTAGATAATTGGCTTGGTGCCACAGAGTCTACATTCCGTTATGTCAAAGGAGATTACTGATGTTTAGGATAGCATGATTGATGGACAGGATATACTGACTTGGGGTAAAGAGTAATAACATCAAAGAATGGGAGTGCTCATTGATGATGGCCAGATGTGGTTGAAGAAATGTGTAACCAAGAGTATGAAAGGCTATGTCCGTTTGTTAGATGAACCCACGGGCTCGTGATCAAATAAATACTTGGTAAAATCTCCACAGAATGTCTAAGTAAATTCTTGCATCTTGAACTTCTCAATACCAGAAACTCATCATAACAGTCAATCAAGTTAATGTTTTCAAAATGTTCAGACTACTAAACAACTACTGATTTAGAACACTGGAGAGTTACTGCAAGTTGCAAAGAAAACATGAGCTGCCTCCACTATTCCAGCACCATTTCAATTTCAACATTTCAATATCATTAAATCACCTACAGTATGCTTAGTCTAATACAGTGACAACTAATATATTCCAAAACCAAATTAGTCCAATCAACGTAAGCTAAATATCATGTGGCTGTCCGTGTGTGAGTATGAGTGTGTGTGTGCGCGTTTGTGTGTGTGTGTGTGTGTAAGTAGAAAAAACATGTTGACTCACCCTACTTGTAGAGAAACGCCAATGCCATTTTCCTCTCTTTCATGTTGCCAAAATGGCCTATGACTCTGTCATACAGTACATGCTTTTAGTTTTTGTTGTCCTAGGCTACCTGGCTAAAATGCTTGCTCGCTAGCCTAACTTCCTTTCATGGGCAACGATTAGCCAGCTAGTTAACATTAGCCTACTACAACTAGCTACACTGAACAAAAATATAAACGCAACATGTAAAGTGTTGGTCCCATGTTTCATGAGCTGAAATATCTCAGCAATTGTTCATACGCACAAAAAGCTTAAGTCTCTCAAATGTTGTGCACCAATTTGTTTACATCCCTGTTAGTGAGCATTTCACCTTAGGCAAGATTATCCATACACCTGACAGGTGTGGCATATCAAGAATCTGATTAAACAGCATGACCATTACACAGGTGCACCTTGTGCTGGGGACAATAAAAGGCCACTCTCTTCCACCTGCCCCTTAACACAGGCTTAGGAGATCTTTGTTCTATGAGATAATATCAGTCAGTTAACATGACCTTAATGAATTATAAAGCCTTTACCCACTGGGTACAGACGTCAGTTCAACGTCTGGTTTTGATTTACATTTGGTTGAGTTGTCAATGTGGGTTGGAACCGGTTCAGGGAACAGAAACGAAAACCTGAAAATAATGAAAATGTTCAAGGAACAGAAACGGTACCTGGAACGAAAGTGATCCATAGTGTTCCAGAACATAATCGTTATTATAAAAGCATGGGAACCGGTTAATAACGTTATTTTACATTCCAGGCATTTTTTTCTAGTCCCACAACAAAATGCAACAAAGTGCACATGCAAAGCCCTCACTCTGTCACTCAGAAACTTATTCCAGTGTCTGCCTGCAAACTGAAAATCTTTGCCTGTGCATGTTTAGGCTACCTGCCCCTCCCCCCTCCAAAGCATAGGCTACTGTACTGAAGTTACAAGCTTGATTCAGAAGATAGGGAGAGAGATTTTTACTTAGCTAGAGAAGAATGGATTAACTTTTTCAGTGCTAGTGAAGGATACTATAGGCCTAGTTATCACATTTCACGTTGGATTTATTAACTACAAAAAGGTCAAGCTTGTTAGCTAGCTAGCTCAAAGGACATTAAAAGTTCCTCCATTGAAGCCGCTCCTCCTAGGTATAATTCTGTGGACCTAATTCATATAATGCACGTCATAACAAGATGCCCAGTGCTTCTAACCTCCTCCTCAACCTTTTCTCGCTCTCTCCCCACCCGCAAAATTTCAGTCGCATCTTGCTCCATAGGCTACACTTGTCTGTCCATCACGCATGTAAACAACTAACTTGCCTGCTCTATCCACACTGACTGGTGAAGTAATTTAATGAGCTAAATGTAAAAAACTGTTGATTTCACAGGTTTAAAAAGGAACAGAAAGGAACGATATAAACTGGTACTTTTTTGGGTACGAACCGGTTCAGAACTTTATTTTGCTGGTCGGAACAGTGGCACAAAACAAAAAAATGGTGGTTCTGTTCAGAACAAATTATTGGAAAATCATTTTGGTTCCAAACCCTGTTTGTCAACTAACCTGAATCCAATGTGAAATCAACAAACAATGCCACCATGTCATTGGATTTTGGTTAAAAGTTGGGTGAAAAAAATTCCCTTACGTTGATTACTTTTTTCAAATCCAATCAGTTTTCCACATTGATTCAACGTCATTACATTACATTTTTTGTTGTTGAAATGACATGGAAACAACATTGATTCAACCAGTTTTTGCCCAGTTGGTATGTGCTTGTTTTGATTACATACAGTACATTTACATTTACATTTACGTCATTTAGCAGATGCTCTTATCCAGAGCGACTTACAAATTGGTGCATTCACCCTATAGCCAGTGGGATAACCACTTTACAATATTATTATTATTATTATTTTTATTAATTTTTTTAGGGGGGGGGGGGGGGGGGGGTAGAAGGATTACTTTATCCTATCCCAGGTATTCCTGAAAGAGGTGGGGTTTCAAATGTCTCCGGAAGGTGGTGAGTGACTCCGCTGTCCTGGCGTCGTGAGGGAGCTTGTTCCACCATTGGGGTGCCAGAGCAGCGAACAGTTTTGACTGGGCTGAGCGGGAACTATGCTTCCGCAGAGAAAGGGGAGCCAGCAGGCCAGAGGTGGATGAACGCAATGCCCTCGTTTGGGTGTAGGGACTGATCAGAGCCTGAAGGTACGGAGGTGCCGTTCCCCTCACAGCTCCATAGGCAAGCACCATGGTCTTGTACATGCTTCAACATAAAAAAAAAAAAGTGATGTTAGCTGATGAAGATTATCTCATAGTACAAAAATGTATTAGATCTTCTAAGCCTTCTAATACCGTATTTTCTGTGTTTATCCAGAAACCCTATAAAAAAAAAACATTCATTTCCCCATAGGCTTTGGCCAACGAGCCATGGCGGAGTTAGTGCCTACAAAA